TTTTATGAAGAAGTGTCTTAAATACCAGTGCTGAATTTCTTCCAAATGTGAATTTAAAAATGTTTTTTCTTTAATGCATCATTTTTTATGTGACCAGTGAAATCTGCCATGACCTAGAAATTTAAAATTTTCTATCAGCTGCACTTTAAATACATTCTTCTTTCTGAATCATGCTAATGAAAATGTTGTCCTGAGTACAAAACAGAGCAGTGTACTCAAAGTCATTATTCACCCTACTTGACAACAGAAGCACTCAGCTTCTTTGAGCTGGAATGCATTAAAGGGGAGAAAAAGACATTCAATGAATTATGCTTTTTTCAGCTGTAACACTGAAAACTCTGCTGTCCTATGTTTGCTGCATAATGCTGCTTTGCTTCATGCCTTTTTCAGACCAATTTCCAGTGCTAGTGTGTGAATAAGTTAAAGAAGCATTGACTCTTTTGGCCATAACAGTTAAGACAGTATTAGCAGTACTTCCAACTTCGTTTGCATTAGAAGTCAGAATCTCTTTGTGAAGAATACACGCACAAAGGCCTATGTTCTGCAGCACTGAAACATTTTCTTGTTTTAACTCCCTTTCTCATGAGTTATTGCAGTTTAATCAAGTTTTCTGACTCAGCTTCCTGCAACAAATCCTTGTTCCTTCTCTCTCATTTTTCATTAGGCACCAATGTGTTCAGCTGCTGCCAGACAAATTCTACCCCCTGTATTTGCATTCAGTCCCAGAGAAGTCCCTCTGTCTACAGGAATGGTGACAGTCCACCAAATGGCAAAACTGATCCAGCACTGTGCCAAGGCAGTCTTTCCCTGTCTCTCTCCCTCATCTCCCAGCTGCCTGATTCCATCTTTCCTTTTTTACTGTTCAGCTAAGCACCAGAGGGAATACAAACAGGAGAAAAGCAAATCATAGTGCCTTGCTGGGTTAAAGCTAAGCTCAGGCTCACTCTGAGAGCTGGAACATGGGGCATTACTTAGGGCAGTGTAGGAGCATGGCCATGCTCTGTACTCTGATCAGGCCCCTGGTGCCAGGGACCGGCCATGTGATGTACCTCATTCCCTTGGGGAATGGCTTCCCGTTTAATCTGTGAGCAGAGGATTGTTTAGTCAATTCTTCTGGTTTACTTAGTGAAATGAAGATATCCACCATGGACTTTAACCAGGGCTGTGACTGAGCTTTGATTCAAATGCAAGCTTGTCAGAGGCATTGTCACCACATCTGAAGACTGATAACAGTTTAATATCAAATAAGTTTTATTATTGCTTTCTTCATCCTACTTTTATCTGATCTTGGAGGTAATTCAAATGAACAAAGATATATGCAATTGCAATTACTACTCCCACTTAGCTACATATGTGGGCAGTCTTATTTCATAATTAGTCTGTTACTTCTGTTTATCATAAAGTTAATATTAAGCTGAAGTAGAACAAGGTGCATTTATTCCAGAACAAAAATCTATGCATGTGGATTTAGTAAAGAGCAGTTATTTTGGCATTTGCAACAGCTGTTTAGAAAGCTCTCACAGTTTAAAAAAAGACCTGCACTTCCCAAAGTATACATTTCATGATTCAGAGTAATATATTTTACCAACTGCATTTTGGGTTTTTTTCAATAGCGATTAAAATAGAGATTTTTTATTTTTTTTTTGGTTTTGTTTTGTGCAGAGACTGATAAACTGTAAAAGGCTGCAGCATCAGTTGCTCAAGTAGAAAGAAGTGTTAAAAATGAGAAAGCTGCTTTAAAAAGACATATTTTAAAAAATATCTATTAGCATAGGTTAGAAATGTGCTCAAAGGGTTAGGGCAGTGGTTAGGATTAAGTTTAGGGTTGAGAGAGTCAAAGAGCCTACAGCTCCAGGAACACTGGGGCTGGAAAAGGCATGGCAAGGTGATCCTGGCAGGGCCCCAGCTTTGCTGCACCTACACCTGCCAGCACCACACTACATCTGATTTTATGGTATGTAGTGTCTATTATGAATGTTACTTTTTTTTCTTCTTTTTTATTTCTCTTTGTTACCCCTAAATCCAGCTTCAGCTCAGCTTTTCTTTGACTGATCACTGGTGATCACAGCCATCAGGCCAGCCAAGCCTGTGCCTTGCCTGCTGCCTTTATATCCCTGTATTCCTCAGCAAATCTCGTGCCCCCACTTCCCAAGGCTTCTGCTATTGCTCCATGCCTGCATTTCTCTGTGCTGCATCGCTGTGCTAGTCATAAGTCTCTTTTTCTACACAGAATAACTGTTTGTTACTTTTGTTTATATAAAATGATGGTTGTACCACACACAGATAAACAGAAGAAAAACAAATTAGCCATAGACCCGGTTAATTATGGAAACTGCTGTCACAGCTAACCAAGGAAAAGATACAGAAGGGTTGAGAGAAGTTCAAACAAAGCAAACCTGACAATTCTCAGTCCTGAGGCCTTGCACATTCAGTACAAAGTTTATGACAAATTACTGAGAGTGGCAATATCATATTCCAGGGTTGCGTGTTTCAGCTCCAAAAGTCACGAGCAGGTAAGAGCAAGCTGCACACACTACCACATACTCCATCATGTTTGGGTGGTTTTTTAGAACTGAAAATGCTGGCATTTTTTTCTCTTTTGGGGTAGAAAAAACCATGCAAGAATTAGAGTCTCTGTTACCTAAACTTTTAAAAGTAGAAATTAGCTCAAATATTGCATGTTTTTTACATGCATGGCACAGGGAAGGGTAGACAACAAGGGTAATGACAAGGATAGGCAAGGACTGAAATTGTCTAACTCTTTCTCAAAAGATAAAAGAAAATCCACAGCCTCCCCAGCCAAACAAACATCAGACTCTGCTTTGAGATAGATAATCTCCTGATGTCTCTTTCAGTTCTATTGTTCTCTATTACTAGTTTGTTTTATTATCTTAAATAAAAAATTCCTTGTGCATTCTCAAAATGGACAGGTTTTTTTTTTTAAATCTCCTTTGTCTTTTTGATAGATCACATGTGATACATGGATGATTGTCTCCATAAATCCTCTAACTCAGTTTAGGTTTTGCAAAATTTTCAAGTAGCCTTGTTTTTTCCAGTTTGCTTTTTTTTCCTAAATCATGTCATTCTTAATTATATATATAAAGAATTTCTAATTTCACAATCACCTATAAAAATAGTGAATCTTGTGGGGCTTGGACTGCTATCACTTACTGTGTTTGTATAGTTGACATACAGATTATTTATCTCTCACTTAGAAAAATACCCATTCCTGAACTCTCCAGTTGGTGTTTTGATATTACTGTTATCTTCTTTTCCAGCACATACAATCTGTTGTGTTCCTGACTTGACCTGACATCTCTTTAATGCCAGTGGGCACAGCCCTCTTAATTCACCACTTCCTTCATAGCTGCAATGCTGCACCACGGTCTGGACTGCACATCTTGATAGACAGAAGGGAGGTCTCTAATCCTATAACATATCCTGAGTGATTAACTCAAAGTAGCAAAATCTACCTTTTAATGTGCCTTTTAAACGCAGGATCACTCCCAATACTGTAGTATTGAATACTTTTGTCAAGGCTTAGCCTAAGAATCTCAAGACTGCAATGGAGACATAACTCAGTCCCCCAGTACCATCTCTATTCCTTCCAGTGATTCCATTTTAACAACAAAGCTCTCCTGTTACTTCAGTCTAAATTTCAGAGCTTGGCTGATCTGATATTTTGCCACTCCTTCCCTGAGTCCCATTGTATGCACAGAACTTTTGCAGCTCATCTTAGCTCTGACCAGAGATGGAAAACAAAACCTCAACAACAACAAAAACCCTCACGATGTCCCTATTGTAACCATGGATGAAGTTTGTGAGGATGAAAAAAAATCAGCTGGATACTTAATATTTTATGGTAATGGTTTGACTTGGTTCTTGTCCAAAGAGGTACAAGATCTCGAGTGAGAGGAAATGCACATCACAGGGGTGTGTCTCATTCCAGTACGTTCCTCAGGGATGGAAATGCATTGGTCAGCAGCAGAACCTGTAAAATGGAAGAAAACTGAGGGATGCCTCTACTCACTTGGGCCAATGTCTGACAGGATGGGCTCTGCGGGGTTATTGTACAACACCAGCTGGAAGCCAAATGAGCAATTAATGATCATACAATGTTTTGAAGTTGCAGAATGCAATTTATGGCCCAGAGCAGCTCTTCAGAGTGGGAAATGGTCTTAAGATTCTGTGCATTCATTGACCTTTCTGAGAACCATTTCACAACTAAAAGGATAATGAAGGGAAGGTAGTTTACAGAGTGAGGTATTTTCTGCTGCAGAGCTGCTCAGCAGCACCAGAAGGGCCACACTCTGCATTCTGTTCTGGAATAAAAGCATACTTTGTGAAGGAATTCACCTTTAAAGGGCTGTCTGCCTAAGTGCTCTTCTGGAATAGCTATTGCGGAATAATACAATTTTCAAAAGCTGCGCCAGCCGCTCCCTCTGTATAGACAAAGCCTTGTTCTCCCAGGGTTGGATTTTGGTACTTATAAAAACTGCTCGATGTTTGGGATGGGGACCCCGTGAGCACTGCTGTGGTGTGCTGATGATGGCACAGGGCCCTGGGTTTTGTTGCTTGGTTTCCTGACTTGGCTAAGAAATGGCTTGGAAAAGGTGCCCTTAACATCCCACCGGCAGAGGGTGGGGAAGTTTTCGCAAGCCACTTGGAACAGGCGGAGATGCTGCTCCAATCCCTTCTGCCATTCCAAGCCCACACAAGGGGCAGCCTGGAACTCCTCCTGCTCGCAGGAGATGTGATGTCTCCTTGACATGCAGTCCCGTACCAACTGTGCCACCAGAGGCGAGCTAAAATGAGCGACTGCTTTCCAAATACTGTCTCCAAGAAGCCTGCAGATGTCTCACAGAAGTGTTCATATCCTAAAAAGCACCTTTTCCATCCTTTTAAAATGGCAGATTAAGTCATGTGTATGACTCAGCCTCATTTTCTTGTCCTGTGACTCCAGGCAAGTCACTTCTCTTCCAGCTCCCTGACAGGTTTTGGCCATCCAATCCAAAAACGCCGTGTGTGCCTCGTTGAGGAAGATGCGTGAGCAGCACCCTGGAAAAACAAAAGGCAAACCTGCGTTGATCTAAATGCCTTCCAAAGCAACGCGCTGTTAACTAACGTTGTTTTTCCCAGCTGCAGAGTGAGGGCAATGCGATATTCCGGGTAGACAGCGATTAGAGCAGCTGATAAACCACGGGCGAAGGACTGACCGAACACGGAAACTGAGGCGCCCTGCGGCGCGGGGAGGGTGAGGGAAGGGAAGGGAAGGGAAGGGAAGGGAAGGGAAGGGCCCGGCCCGCCCTCATGGCGCCCCCGGGCCCCGCCCCGCGCCGCCGGCGGGAAGGCGGCGGGGCCGTGCCCTCAGGAGGAGCAAGGTGGGCGGCAGAGGCGAGCTCGGAGTCTTCGCCCCGGCTACTGCACCCACCTTCTCCCCCGGAGCTGCCCGGGCGTGAGCTGGGGATTTAATTACTGTTCTCATTTTGATGGGGATTTACGGTGCTCTGCGGGGGGAGGGAGATTCAGCGGTCCCTCGCCCTTTGGGAACAGAAATGTGCATCTCATGAGGAGGCAGCTGGCAAAGAAAAGCCGAATAAATCTGTGCGTTGATAACGATTAATCAGTTATTTTCCTCTGAGGCAACAGACGTGAGGCCGCGCCGCGGAGCCCCTTAGGGCAGGTCGGATCGCCCCCGATCCGGGAGCCGCGCTCTGCTGCCATTTCCTGCCGGCCAAGCCCGGGGGAGTTGCGGGGAGTGGGTCCCTGTCACTCCCGCAGGCTGCAAGGACACCGCGGTGTCCGGGTCTTGCTCACCGGTCCTTGGGTCCTTGAGGTGGCACAAGATTGTTGGTGGTTTTTCATGGATTTGCTCTGTTGTCTCAGACTTTCACCCTTTAATCTGTTTCACTGCAGGCAGTGGTGACTGGAATCCTTCAGGTGTGCCAACGCACACCAGCAGCAGGACAACAGTTCACTAGGCAGGAGGATTTTTTTCGTACCTAAAGCTTTAAATAGGGTGAGGTATAATTTCTCCATTTTCCCTAATAGCCTGCAGGAAGGCACAGGTCTGGGTCTGCCTCGTTTTTCTGCTGTGAGAAGCCAATTGCCTAAGGATGGGGAGTAGGAGAACAATCCCATAACCTGCTCAACGGTGGCTGAAGTCCAGGATTATGTGCATTTTGTGAGGATGTTTTTAATGAAGAAGGAGATTGTAATATAGTTTTAATGTCTCTTGTATTACTTGTTTTTCTTGCTTCGGTATTTGAAGCTAAGGGATTTTTCAAATCTCCCAAAGTATTTTTTAATTAGTGTTTTGCTGTAATTATGTGAAGGCGTGATTTGTCACTCCATAATTGTCAGAGTTCTGAAACAGATAAATATACCATGACACTGTCAGAAACAACTGATTTTATAAGAATGTTTCCATTAAATGCTAACAGAATAAGACAATTCAGAAATTCTGATATCCTGTTCCTTTCTTACCCAGCCTCTATATACACAAGATTCTTGCAAGCAAATTAGTATCCATTTATAAGCTGAAAAAAAGACCTTTTGCAGATACTTAGCCTAAACTATCCTAACCTCTGTTAGACATAACCCATCTTATAGTTTGTGGATTTTGTTAACAAATGAGCAAGTAAATATATGCACACATTTTGATGTGGTGGTCTACAAAACTTTTGATCATCCAGAGCTAGAACACCAAGTGTAAGCTCACAATCTAAACAGAAGAAACTTAACCTGTTTACAAAGCCACAAAAATGAAAGAGTAGTTTGGTTATAAGATCATATTTCTAAGGAACTACTTTGTATTCACCATTCTTGCATTCATAAAATTTATGGAGGTCACACTTTGCTCATTTAACCACGGTGTCACTAAATGCCTATTCCAGTTCTAGGCCTTGCTTAAAGGAAGCCACATGGAGAGGGCAGTGAAGCTGTGCTGGAGTACAGACATGGCAAGTTAGCCATGAAAAAAAACATGAAATGAGCTCTCTGTATATGGGTTTGCATAATAAAAGTTCCAGGTTTTTATTACCCTTCTTTTGTTCTCTCCATGCAAGCATACTCCTAACAGCCATTACCTGCATGTCTTCAGCATTTATTGGTCATTTTGAACCTCAGCAAGAACTTCAAAACAAATATATCTTTAATAATCTGCTCTCAAGATACATCACTAAGGAGTTGTAGCCTTCTCAGCACTGTTTTGTGAGTTTTCTGTCGCATAAAGATGGAGAGGCTCAGCTGTTGCATTGCCTTTCCATTACCCATTCTGTCTGCAGCTATGCTGACTTTTGTTATAAAAACACAGACTGCCTTTAGCATTCTTACCAGAATAAATTCCACTAGTGATAATTAATTTTAAATGTTCCCACCTCCAAAACTCATCTCTGACCCAAGATTCTCACAAGGCAATGAGATCTCTTTTCCTAATACCTATGAAGCCCTTTCTGGCCAAACTGGTTCATCTGAGTGTAAAGCCATAGATTTTCTCCTTTTGGCCTGGTAGGTCAGATAATGAAGAGTTGGAAGAATCCAAATTCAATTCCGTATATGATGTCATACTGACATGTTTCTGTAGTTCAAGGACTTCTTTAAAGTCCTTTTACAGACATTTACTCATTTATTGCCTCCCATGACTGTCTTTGCATTTCCCACTAGTGATCAATACTTTATTGCGTGCTCTTTCACGATGAAGGCCATGGAGGATCAAGTAGTCCAAGAAGAACCAGGATACCAGGATGATGAGGTAAATTTGTTATTGATTGAAAACTATGTGCAGGAAACATCTGAAGTTATTTTGATAGTGTTAAGACACCCATGGAGGAACAGGAGATCCCCAAAAACCATCAGGGAGTTCAATGCATTTAAATTTTTTTTCCAGTCTTCTACCAAGAAAATCTCATTCCCCATGTCCCTGTACAGCCTGGCTCTCCAAGTAATCTTCATTAACCTTTCAAAAGCTGTGCACTGTTTTTAATGGGATTATCATTATTTCATCATATTTTACACTTCTATATTAAATGCAAGTTAATTTTCTGCTATCAGTTAATTTTCTGCTTCTGAAGAATGATCATCAGCGCGAAAAGAGTGAGAAATTATGGCAGAAAAGCTGAAGATTATGATGGTGCTAACACAAGTTTTATTAGCACAGCAGAGGATTAATTGCCTGTGAAGATACACTTTATGGAGAAGATGATAGGAAACATGTAGGCCTTTTTGGCTCACTATGGCTTTGCTTATTTCAGTTGTCCAACAAGTTATGTATTATTTGTGAAAAATCAATGTTTACAAATCTGAAACAGTCATGTAGTGAGATAGATGTAATAACAAGAAAAAGCAACATCTGGTTTTTTTCTGCTCTTTTGTTTAGGAATCCTTTTTTCAGGATATTGACCTGCTGCAGAAGCATGGAATTGTAAGTATTAGCAGTCACTTGATCACACAGAATTGTCCCTCAAAAGCTACTGTGAGGTTGCTTCCAAAATGGTATACACGTTGATGCGAATAACTGAAATTCCTCCTTGCAGTAAGTTCTAACTCAGTCAGTGGAGACAAATTTTGCCTTTGGTGATAAGACAGATTTTTAGAAAATCTCATTCACATCAGATTCCTAAATAAAGTGTCAAGATACTCAAAGTATTTAGCACCTAGCTCTCTTGAAAAACCAACTGCTTGCTAATTTATTTGAAAACTGTGTGATAGATTATTTCCTGTTCCTGCCAATCTTTGTAATTACTCCTGCATTTTTGGTGCCTGTGAAATTACACTGTGACAATTGTTACCATACTATTTTCAGCATGCTGGTGCAGGGGGGTAGAGTAGGAGTGAGGAAAATATTAGTAGCTAGAGAAATAAGTGGTTAGTTTTCTTCATCAAATGTGAATTTATATCATTGCTACCATCATCACATAAACATCACCTATTTATTTTAATTACAATTATTATATGTTTATCTAGGAGACTGGCACATGGATTGGAATCCTGTTATAATCAGAGTTATAGAAGCAGAATAAAAAAGTTAGGTTTGCCTGAAGTAATGTGAGATTTGATAAAAGTGACTTCAGACACATAAAAATGGGAAGGACATACCACAGTGACTCATCATTAGTCAGCACTGTAGTTACTGTGCTGACCACGTCAGCAGTGCAAGTGTTGGCAATTTTTTTTTAATTGGCAGTTCATTGTCAGTTTTAAAGATAGTTCTGAAGAAGGATCACATGGTTGGGAGCTCAACCTATGGGGCAACATAGGAAAAACAAAAAAATTATTGCTCAAAAAATTTAGCAAGCTGATCAAAGAGGGTGACCTGAGCTGGGAGGGAGCTGTACTACCCTGTCAGTATGAAACAAGGCATGGCATTCACAGAATGATACAAATGTATGAAAGAGTTTGAAAACTAAGAATAGTTACTTTGGCTGTTCTTCTGGGCTTGTAAAGGTTTTCTGCTCCGTTCCATTATTTTTTTTCTTTCTTCCAAGTGGTTATTCCCATACCTCAGAGGAAGTTTTTGTTCTCAGCTGTGCCAGCTAAAAGCTTTGTGCAAACATAGGATGACCTATATATATTAAATTAGTTTACCTGGAGAAATAATTTTTGTGGGTTTAGAATTTTTTTTCAAGGAGTAGAGAGAAAAATATTTACTGGTGTGTGCCCAGAAAGAGAATCAGATTAGAACAACTGGTACTGTGATTCGGTGATCTAAAGTATTTGGTAGGGTTTAAGGTGCTGTTACCCCTCAGCCTCTGCTGAGTGTCACACACGTATCACAGGATGAGAAATAAGCTTTGAAATAAACATGACTAATTTCTCACACAACTCCCCCCCTCCCTTTTTATGCTCTATGTACCCACACACTCTAGATAAACAGTTATATGTCCAGTTCATTTTTTTTTTTTCAAAGAAAAATCTTGGCCAGAAATGGCAAATTGATGTATTATCCCACACCTTTCACATAGTATGTTTTCTTGTGAGTAAGCTGTTCTTGCTTTTACATGTCCAGTGATGTCAGAATCATAAAATGAAGTGAAGGAAGGTAAAATATGTCAGTAGGGTGCTGTCTGAAGTTGTGCTGTTCCCAGTTTATGAAAAACGAGTAGCTCACTCCACCCAAAGTGTCAGTCAGATCTGCAGGATACATGTGTTTTAAACTGGACATGCAGAAATAGCACAGCAGTTAGACTCAGTTTGCAGTGATCCATGTGAATCAGCTGCCAACTACCCACCACCAGATTATCTGGTTTACAGATTATCTGTGCTAAGGGACCAAGGACAGACTGAGTGTTACAGGGTCCACACTATCTGAAGTAATTCTGTACTGCTTCTTTACTATCAGCTGTGATCTAGAAAAACTGGCACTGAAAGGGGAGAGGTAAATACCCAGACATCTTTATCTCAAAACCATCAGGAGCTGCTCTCTGCACCATGATCCCTCACACCAGTGCTACTCAAAATTTTGTTTTGATGGTGTCGCAAACTACACAATGAAGAGTTTTCTGTAAATCTGTTTCTTTCGTGGTGAAAACATAGGCATATAAATGTAAACTTAAAATATTTTGCAAAGGTTTACTTCACCTTCTAGTTGTTAACTGTCCTGAGTACTCACAGAAGGGAAATTTCTTTGCAGAACGTAGCAGATATTAAAAAGCTGAAGGCAGTTGGGATTTGCACAATCAAAGGAATCCAGATGACCACAAGAAGGGCACTGTGCAACGTGAAGGGGCTCTCAGAGGCCAAAGTGGACAAGATTAAAGAAGCTGCAAACAAGCTTGTTGTAAGCCAGTCACTTTCCTGAGAGTTTGAACTTAATGCTGGCCTCTCCAAAATGCTGTGCAAAATTTCTCTTAGCGGATTTCCCACTGCATCATCAAAATAATTTTGAAAATTATTCTTCCTGTTACTCTAAGGCATAATACTTTATACTCCACAACCACCAGACAAATGCTGTGGTGCTTTTTATACCGAACCCACAGGAATGAGGCTAGGGGGGAAAGAAGATATTTATGTGGAATACTGCACTTTTAACTTCAGGTTGAAGCTAAAATAAACCTCTTGTGTTCTCTTTGGTCCTCCCTAGGAACCAGGCTTCCTCACCGCTTTTGAGTACAGTGAAAAACGGAAGATGGTATTTCATATTTCCACTGGCAGCCAGGAATTTGAGTAAGCTTATCTCTTATATCTTTCCTTCATCCAAATGTTCCCAATAATCATTTTAATTGTCTTTAATGAGATACAGAAATACGAGGGAATAAATACTCAGCTAGGACACACAGATTCCCCTTGCATTTGGAGTTAGTGCTGGCTTAAAGAAGTCTACATCAATAAGCACCAAAACTACTTTCCTGAGAGGAAAATGGACTTTGTACAGTCGCTGTAAATAAATAGTTGGCATTCAGAAATCTTGATGGCATAATTTTTTTGCTTATCAAAATAATCTGCAGGTTTCAGGTGAAAATTACCAGTCTTCAAGTCTTCCCTTGAGATATTCTTGGAATGTTATTTTCAAATATTATTTTCAATGCTATTTTCTCTCCTTTCTTGCCAGTAATAATTTGTATAGATCTTTCTCTTGCACACAAAAAGGGAAGTAAAGACAGAGATAATTCTTTATTAATCAATGATCATTTAGTGCCCTGCACTTCATGCATCAAGTGAGGAGCTATAGGGCAGAAATTACTTTCCTTAAAGTAGTAAAAATGTCTCTGTTTTACTTTCCTTTTGTGGTTTTTTGGGTTTAACTATATCATAATCCTCTCCCTTTCTGCAGTAAACTTCTGGGTGGTGGGATTGAAAGCATGGCAATCACTGAGGCCTTTGGAGGTGAGAAAACCACAAATGAGTTAAACCAAACAAATAATTGCAACTTAATTTAGATTTTAATTCAACTTGGATTACTTCTATCAAATTTACCACATTGTAGTTACAAAGATGAGTATCTGCATGAGTGCAAGAAGAAATAATCCACTTCTCTTTATGTTTTCCCCTTTTTCCTCTTCATTTGCTTGCAGACTAAGTTTGAGCTGAAGTAATCATTACTGGGCATGCTGATTCAGCACAACATAGCATTACTAAGACTATTACTAACTTGCCAGAGTTCTCCCTGATGCAATGTAACAAAATTGCCACAAAAGGTATTTTAGTTATGCACACCTAAGGTACACTGCATTTTATGTAAGATTTTGAAATTACAATTAAGCTGCTGTTACAGTACACCGAATTAGTTGGTGCTTGACACTTCAGCAATAAGAGTTCATAAAACACAGTAGTTCATAAAACACAGTTTCATAAAACTCTTCCCTTTAGAAGAGATAAACTGGAGACTAATGTGTTTTGCTAGAATGAGATTAATAAACTTGTAAGCTTCTCCTTGATTATTTTACTGGAAATGAAACTGGTCTAGGTTAATGGAATCAACCATTTCTTCCCCACCCTGCCCCCTCACTATCACTTTTCCACAGGTGCCATATGGTTTTAACTTCCACACACAAGAGAATGACTTCAGCAGTCAAGCACGATCAAATTAAAGCATTTCAGATTTTGCTTTTCATGTAACACATTTCTCCTGCACAGAATATGATTTAGAAATTGAGGTTAAATGATTTTAAAAGGTAGAGATTGAGGTGAATTTTGGAAGTAAGGGTTTCTAACTGCAGTAATTCCTGAATCTGTCAAACTTTGAAAAATAAACCCTGACTCTTCTTTTCCCTTCTCTTTATTTAACAGAGTTCCGGACAGGCAAAACCCAGCTATCTCACACTCTTTGTGGTAGGTATTACACCTTAAAATAGAGTGATGTTTCTTCTCAGTGAATTCATTGTTTACCACTGTATCAGAATTAAACACATAGAGAAAAGTCAGAATCTTTTATTTCTACAAATACAGTGAAACAGACCTTGGTGACTCTTACCTCCATAAACTGTGTTTGAGTAGAGAACTCATATAAATGGTTGCTTTTTAATACTGGTCACATCCATGAAAGTTGTGAAGATGTTTTGGATAGACCAGTGAAACACACCATCTGGAAAAGCAGAGCACAAATATGGGTCACATGTAGATGGGGCATTGCTCAGAAAAGGGCAGAGGAAAAATTTTTTCTCAGCAACTCTTTGAGTGTCCTGGTTTCAAGAGGTTTTGCTGAATATGACATTCTGAAAGGGCACAGAAAGGGTACTACTGGCTGTCAGTGACTGCATAAACAGACTTTGGCAGTCACCATATATGGGCAGTGCCAAAAACAGCAGGACTCTGATTCCCAGAGATATCTCTCAATGTGTAAAGAGAAGTAAGCAATAGCTTATGTAACTATTAATGCTGCTGGAATTACCAGACACTGGGTAGGCAAATTCTATTAAATTAACCCCCTATATTATAAAGTGAAATATGGCATGTTCTGGAAAAACAAGGCCTCTTCTGGTTAGTACAGTGTAATGGTCACAGAGTCATACCCTTTTGCATGAATGATTACAACTGGATTGAGTATTTTAGCTTATTCATTCCAAAGAGACTACACCCACAATCAGCAGCTATTTGCATATCAGGAAAAAATCATATCCAAAGAATTTTTGATCATATGAGTTACAGCTGGAAAAAGTGCCTACTAAGTCAATAGAATTAATTGGGCAGAGGATAAGAAGAGATTTTGTGTGTAAGAACTCACAAATAATATCCCTAAAATACTCAGATTTACTGATGGTACTGAGTAAAACAGTTTTGACACCATTAATTAAATCTCATCTGATCTACAATCGAGAAAAGCGGCTTGAGTTTATTCTCAAGATGGCAGTAAGATAAGACACTCCTGATTTTCACATTGATTAAAACTGGCAGTTCTTTGTGATATGGATAAACAGTTGTTTTTTATTTAAAAAATAATCATAGATGGAGTAAGAAAATATTTTTTTCCTGCTTTTTCATTTTAATCTTGTATGCTTCTCTGTAGTGACAGCTCAGCTCCCAGGACCAGGCTACACAGGTGGAAAGATTATCTTCATTGATACTGAAAACACTTTGTATCTTTTTGACTGGTGTGATGTACTGGAAAGTTAGTTCATTTTAGTTAGTCATAAGGAAGCTTCATATATGTAAAACATGACTGGCACAGAAATCGTGGAGAGCACAGTGTGTAGTGGCCCCCAAGGAAGTGAGTTTTTCTTTTGTCATTTGATGTAATCCAGTCTGGAAAAATTAGTTAAGAATTAGATTTTATTTTAACTGGGACTTGTTTGTTTGTTTGTTTTTGGGGGTTTTATGTTTTTGTGATCTAGTAGGCCTCCTACAGGTTATAGCAGCTTTTCTATTCAAGATAAATTTATCTAAGTACTAAACACTATTTTTAACATTTCACATTTGCAGTAGACTGTGTATAAACAGGTTTTGCTCACAGCTAAATTCCTAGAGCACAGATATCCATATGTCAACCCCCCGCCTCAAACCCTAAACACAAAACAATTACCATCGTGAGCCCTAAACTATCTTTAGGGTACGTGGGACAGCCTGAAGACAAAAAGTCAGTCTTCTCTAGGACTAAAATAAATATTCTTCTTTTTTTTTTTTCGCCCTCCATAGTCCTATTTTGGAATGGAGTTTTATTATTTTCAGAGCACGGTTTGCACAAGGAGAAATCCTTAACTGTGACTCATGCCAGCCGACCAGACCGCCTGCGTGACATTGCTGATCGCTTCAATGTTGACCACGAGGCAGTGCTTGACAACGTGCTGTATGCACGTGCATACACCAGTAAGACCATTATTGCAATTGGCATGATAGCTAGGGTTTTTTCCTCTCAGGTTTTTTCTCTCTCTGTTTCCATTTTAATAGTTCTCAGTTTATTAACACTTCTCAGTTTCTTAACAGCTCAACACGCTTTCTGTCACAAGACACCGCTTTAAAACGTTAAGAAATTTTTAAATAAGACTTCTTTAAGAGTGCAATATAAACATAAATAATACGATTAAAACATTTTCTATGTGTCATTTAATTCAACATTAAATTAAAATGTATACATTGCTTTTCAGTTCTTAACACGACAAACAGTTGTCTTCATGCAGAGTGAAGATTTTCACAAAGAGGTTTTGTGAGATGGGTGAGAGGAAGCTGGAACCTGCAAAATAGATTGTTACTGGGCACTGGGTTTAAAACTGCTGGCAATGAAAATATAACCAGTGCATACATTTAAAGTGGAATTTTAAAATTCAGGCTTTTGTTCCTTCGGAGTTCTTTCTGATCCTAATTTCTCTTGGCAACTGCTTCCCACTAGGTGAGCATCAGATGGAATTGCTTGACTATGTAGCAGCCAAGTTCCATGAGGAAGCTGGTATCTTCAAGTTATTGGTACAAGACTTCTGTATGCTTACTGTTCTCAGAATAAGTGTTCCTGTTTTCTTTTGCTATATTTACTTACCTAGCATGATTACAATGCAGATCATTGACTCCATAATGGCACTTTTCCGTGTGGATTTCAGTGGTCGTGGAGAGTTGGCTGAACGACAACAGAAACTAGCTCAGATGTTGTCAAGGCTCCAAAAAATATCAGAAGGTATGGGAAATATTGCAAGATTTGGAAAACATGGGCTGGAGTCACTACCAGTAGCTGTTGGTAGCACAACAGTAGTCCAAGTTATTATCAATCAGGCACTGGCCCAGGGAGCTTTTCTCACTTTACACCTCTGTCAGTTACCAAAAAGATCAAACTGATAATATATTATTTCAAGACGACAGACTGAGAAAACTTAAGAACTTTCCAACATTTAGAGTTTTTCAAGAAATACTGTCAGGTCCTAAATGAGATAATAGGTTGTGGAACTGGACAAATACTCAGTAATTTTCTTCCCCAAACTTCAACAGTCTAAATACAAAAGAAAGACAGAGAAAAGAGGATGAAGGCATAGAAAAATAAAAAAGCCGTGCCTCTTGCCACTTTCTCAGCACTTTGCAATGCTTTGAGGGATGATGGCAGGATGAATAGAGTTCCTTCTCTTTGGAATGTCTCAGAAATGTTGATGAGGAATGAATAAATGCTTTTTTCCTGAAATAAAAAAAAAAAAAAAAGGCAAACAGAGAAAGGGAAGGAGAGAGAGCTGAGGGCAGGGAGCCAACAGAGAATAGACGGGAACTGAGAAAGACTTGTTCACTGGAATTGAGAGAAGGGCTCATTTTTGGTTATTACAGCTGAAGCTGTGCAAGAGCAAAGGCTATGTCCTGATTAACTGCAGCCATCAGTCATAAAGAATATTTTCTTCTCGTTCATTTGAAATTTGAAGTGCTTCAGCAGAAACCTTGCTTTTACCATGGATGAGAGAATATTTTGGAATTCTAACTGAATGAAGTCTACTTTCTTTGCAATGTTTTCTCTTGCAGAATATAACGTGGCTGTGTTTGTGACCAACCAGATGACTGCTGACCCAGGAGCAACCATGACGTAAGATACTTCTTCTCTCTTTTAAAAAAATTCCTGTATTTTGTATTACGTATTAAACAGAAATGAGAAGTGAGATTGTAAGGTGCAAGAGGCACTGAAATGAAAGATCAGATTGGTCATTGTTCCCTGTGCTATTAGGAATTCCTGCATAAATGACCTCTGGAAGTTTCTCTCAGTTTTTTGGAATCTTTTTTACATGTATCTGCTGCCTGCTATGGTGGTATGATTTCACTGTGACTTAAATAAAGAAAATGAGCTATAAAAAATATTGAAAAAGCACCACATTTTCCTTTGGAGCAGCTTATATGTGATATTTACGGCGTGTATTTCTTGAGTCTATTGAATGCAATGACAGAAAAATGATGCCAGCATTGAACATTTGAACATATTGAGACAAGTGTGCTAAAGTTGAGTTTCTAATGTATTTCCCTATTGATTATTCATTACTGAGTTGAATAGGGCTCGGTCTGACAGTTAATCACAGTATTAACCTCTGGAATTTGCACAGTGATCACCACAATTTTCTTGCTAATTCAGCTTTCAGGCAGACCCAAAAAAGCCCATCGGGGGCCACATCCTTGCTCATGCTTCCACTACCAGGATCAGTTTGAGGAAAGGGAGAGGGGAGCTGCGTATTGCCAAGATCTATGACAGGTAAATCACCTTTCCCTCACAGGAGGGAAGGTGATGAAGTTCAAGGTACTGAAACTTTCTGGATTCTACATTGGGAGAAAATCTGAAAGGACAAACTAATTAGCAGATTAAACAACTCATTAAAGTTGTCTTGCACATTGCATACATTAAATAACATAATCGTTCATCATAAATCCTACTAGATGCTCAGCTCTTAATGAAGACCATCAAATACTTTGGTAGGACTGGTGGTCCCTTGGCAGGAAAATTCTGGACATATTAAATTCCTAAGTTTTCCTGACACGATAATTTCACATTTTCTGCCCCTGATGATATTGATCACGTTCTACAGTTTGCACATAGGTGTAAAGGCACTGAGGTATTCCAGGTTGCTAACACACACAACATTTTGGAGACTGTTTCACAACTGCATTTTACATGGAGAAACCACAAATTTCTTGTTTCTTTTTCTCCCAGCCCTGAGATGCCTGAAAACGAAGCCACATTTGCAATAACTGCCGGAGGGATTGGGGATGCCAAAGAATAGGTTGAAAAATGATGTAAATGTACAGCTAAAAACCAGCTGGGCAGTTGAGATGAAGATTTGTGAAAGCTCAACAACTACCTGGCTGCATTTGTAGCTTTTTGGAGATATTTAAGATATTTTGGGAGAAAACTGGGATGGGCTTCGTACAGTTCGCTTTTGCTGAACTAAAATTTTGGTCATTTAGGATTTTTGTTTTTCAGTTGAACTTTTAGCACACAAAGATTTAAGCCATTAGATTGTGAATTGTTCTTAGAATCCTTTTCCTACCTTGTGTGAAAATCAAACCTGTCCTTTGATATGGGAGTGAATGTACTCTTTCTTAATTTATTTCAAAGAGAGTGTCTAAGCGGAAGAATTTAACAGTGTGAAATGCAACAGAACTGGAATAAACTCAGTTATAAAATTGACATATATAGATGGAAAAGGCAGTGGGAGGAACAACAGCTCAAGAACTTGATGGATTTTCACGTACTGTAGAGGAACAAGTTTTAAGAATATGTTTTTAAACATTTTTATCTTGACTAGATAATGTTCATGTTTTTATTTAGCATTTTCTACTTTTTGGACAGAATGTTTTAAACCTGTTCTTATTAAAGTTAAAAATAAAGACTATGAATTAGAACAGAAGTCTGACTATGTTTGGGTGCTTTGAATTAAACTCTCCTCTCAAAAATCTCATTGATCTTTCATGAGAATAATAATCTGGGTGTAACCCAGTACCTTAAAACCTTTTTTCTAGTTCTCTAGAGAAACAAACTTGATATAATTGGCTTGTCATTCTTCTAGTATAAGTAAGACTATTAAAGATTACTATTAAGTAATATTAAATATTGTTACTATTAAAAAGAATAAAACAAATCCTGTGGCTAGATAGGAGAGGCTGGCACCAGTGCTTACACCAAGGAAAAGGCACTTAACATTCAGCTTGCTGAGGGAGCCAGCCAGCACAGGCACAGCTCTGAACTAGCAGGAGATGTAGGTCACAGGGGGCAAAAGAAGAAGCTGGGAATGAAGAGGGAAACAGGGCACTGGGGGCCAAAATAACAGTTCCTTTTACAATATCTCCAATGCTCATGGAATTGCTTGTTTTAAATAAATTAAACAACACATACACGCACACACACACACACGGATATAATGGGGAAGTCTTACTTTGTTCTCTGGTATTTACAATGAGTCTGATTTTGGTATCTGGTCAAAGAACTTGTCCTCACTGGCAAAAGAATTTTTTTGTTTAGATTACCAAATGCACGTAAGATGCAATGACCAGAAATTCATGAAAGAGAAGCCTGACATTTTAGCCAGGCTTTTCCTTGTGACACACCTAGAGGGCTTAAGGAAGTGTTTCTTAACAGATAGTTGGTATTTTTCCTGAGGTAAAGCACTACTTTTCACAGTGGAGAAAAGTCTAGAGAGCTGTAGGCTGGAAAGCTGGTTCATCTGGGAAAGCCAGGAATGGATCAGCCATTGTCATTTACTGCAATGTCCAGTGCTTTGCATGTGCCAGGCTTTCCCACACTAGGCATTTTTATCCAGTGGCCAAGTACCCAGTGTCAGTGAGCGTGCAGTGTCACTTGACTCCCTGCCACCCACTTAAAAGACCCAGGTTTCTTACAGAAACATTCCTGCATTTTATTTTAAGCACTCAGATTGCTTTTTGCTTTCTCACACATGTGATACATACATACATATATATATATGTATATATATATATATAGCATGTGAAACTAAAATGGGAATTTGCGTGTCGTTCTAGGCTGTTATTTTTATCCAAGGGTCTGAAAGTAAAGGGGCCTTGCTTTCCCTTCTGCCAGTATAAGCATCTTTTGACAACCTGAGAGCCCAGAAATGACTGCTGATAGCGATAACACGGTGTGGGCCGGGGCTGTGTTCGGCTGGTGTAACCCCGCCATCCATGGGACACGGCGCCTTGTGCCAGGACACGATGACCTAAGTAGCGCACACACAGCACAAAAGGATTTACGGTCTGTGCTGCGTAATCGCCTCGTGGATGATTCTGCCTTTCAGCAAGGAATCTCTGGCTCATATGGGGAATTCTCCCCCGGCCTGCCGGCGCTCAGGCGACAGCAAACATCATGGCCGCTGTCACTCTTCTCCTGCCCCCGCGCCGCCCCGAGATCCCCCTGCTAATCTGGCAGGGAATAACCTCGGCCCGCCGGAGCCGCCACAGAGGTCCAAAGGGCCGCTCCCGCCCCGTCGCCCAGCGTCCCTTTATTGTTCCGCCATTGTCCCATCATCGTGTCCTCAACCCGCCGCCACCTCGGCGGAGCCCGTGGGCGAGTAGACCACGGGACGTATTCTTCAAACCGTCTGCGAATCCAGCGTAACCCTCCGGCCCGGCCTGCACGGTCCGCGTAAGAATGTTACGCCATGCGCACCGGGCTCTTCCCGACCTACGCCAGCCTGAGTTACGCACCTTGCGTTGGCCGTGCACTTACGTAACGTGCGCCTCGGCCCAGGTATTCCCTGCCCTGCAGAAGGGGTTACGGAGAGCGCTCCTTGCGCAGCTGACTTTGGGGAATAGCGTTACGCCTCCCCTCCGCCTTCTTCACGCAGGACCCCGACTCTAAGTAAAGAACGTTACGCACTTTTCGTAGCCCGCCTGCCACTGCACGGGGCGGTGTTTCGCCGAGCGCGCTTAGTGCGTAGTTGAGTTCCGTGAATAGGCGTAGGTGTTTCGGAGGGCCGCAGTTTGCGCAGCTCCGGGCTGCCCGTAACGTAAGCGGAGCGGGCCGGGGCGGCGGCGGCCATTTTGTGCCGGGAGCGCGGAGGAAGAAGACGCTGGTGTCTCCACACTGCCCGGGCCCTGGAGCCGACCGAGAGCCCCGCCGTTCCGGCCGCTGACGCCCAGCGGGTCTCGGACCCACTGACCACCTCTTCTCCTTTTGTGTCCCACCAAAGAGGCGAGGTGGCGCAAAGCGAGGCCTCCGAGGCGCAGCCGCCCCTGGCTGGACCCTCTCCCCGTACCCCCAGCCCCTCGCCGTCCCCACGGCCGGCGTTCCGCTGCCTCTCACCCACCCCTCCGGGGGCGATGAGAGGCTTCGGGGACCGGGGCCGCGACCGAGACCGCGGCGGGTAAGGGGGAGGGGGGGTCGGCACGGCGGGGGGGCGGTGGGGGAAGCCGAACGCTTGCGTTGGGGGGCGGGGGAAGGCCGCGGCTCGGGGGCTGTGTTTGGAGCGGCGGTGTTGGGGGAGCCAGAATCCCGTCTGTGGAGATTTCCCCCCCCACAGATTCTCGTGTGGGGGCGGGGGTAGTTGGAGGTTTATCTGTTCCCAAGGCGGGGTGGTGGGTTTTGAGTGTTTTGTGAGGTTTTAATTTTTTTTTTTTTTTAATTTAGCTTTTCCACCGTTCATGTGTCACTAGTTCTGAGCCTTGCTTGCAGTTTTAAGGCCTGCATCTACCCTGCCCCCTTAATTATTTTCTGCCAGCCTCCTTATTTACCCCGCGAGACCCGTGTCACCCTCCCCCCTACAAGCCACGAAGGTCTCGGTGGCCCTGGCAGGGCTGGCTGTCCTTCTGTCTGCCCTTCTGGTTGTCATTGCTCCTTCTGGACTTACTGGAAAGATGGCAGTGGGGGGAAGAGCTCTCTGAGCTGCGCTCCTAGGCTTACCGTGATAGGAAATGGGGTTGGAAACGCTGCCTTGCGGGGCACTTGGGCACTCGGGAGGGTGATCTCGGTCTGCCACGGTGCTGAGTTTACATCGTGCTGCAGAAATTGTTTGTGTGGTTCTGTAAAGGCCTAGTGCTTGATACTCTTGAATCTGTTATTTAAAGGAGGTTTGGCTTGCAAAAGGCTTTTGCAGGTTTGATTTGATGTGATTTTTTTTTTCTTGGGACAATGACAGCAATAAATACTGTGGTGTTATACTGGATAACTAGGTTGAGTCTCGAGGTTTTGAAGTGTTGAAAGTAGTAAGGTTTTCGTGCCAGGCCTTTTTAAAGAGAAAGTTAAAACTAATTTCTGAGAGTGGCATTTTCAGATCATGAGTAGTTCTCAAGGATTAGCAAAAAACATATAGTGTGGGTTCTGCTATGTGGTAAACTCGATCTCAATTAATGAGTCTTCTCTCCTTTTTTTTTTCCTTTTTTTTTTTTTTTTTTCTCCCTCGCTTCCTTTTCCTCCTGTTTTCCCTCGCCACTGGGAGATTAAAGAATATTTTGCTATGCATTGCAATGCACTTTGACATTCAGTTTCTTGTCAGCTGTGGAGGGAGATAGTTGTATCATTGCTTTATCTTACACCCACATTTAACATTCTGAAATTAAAAGATACTTTCATTTTTTTTTTCACAGAGAGGAGGGTTCTGGTGTTTTTCTGCTAAGAGATTTCCAGCTCAGTTTAACACAAGGACATTGGAGTAAGCGCTTTGGCAAGTCTGAGATAGATCAGACCACAGCTGTTTTTGGAGTTTAGTGAGTGAGTTTGAGTATGCAGATTTATATACAGTTACTTAAAAGAGCACTGGCCAGAGCGTTGCCACAACACTTGATGTGCCTTAAAATTAGTATTATTTAATTTTCTGTAAAGTCTTTAATTATAGTGGATGCTTCTCTTTTAGATCAGGAGTTTTGCATGAGTAAAAGAAGTGCCTACATGCTTCTTTGTGAAGTTTGTGGACATTTGCATGGAATTTTTTTCTTTTTTTTGCATATTATCCTGGAAGCTTTAATGCATTAGGATTCAATTTGTTACATACATCCTTTTAAGGTATGGAAATATTTGTAACCACTAACAACTATCTTGCTTCATAAATAACCTGTATAAAATATTGGGCCACCCAGTGTGCTGGTTCAGCACCTTTTGAGAGTTTATCAACCACTTCTTTTGTAGTCTAATCACATAAAAGGGTTCTAGTTTTCTCTTGTCAGGAATGAGCTGTAGGTGATTTCTTAGGATGGAAAATTGTTATGTTTTTCTCTGGAATGTATCAGATTTAGTCAGTTCTGTCCCAGAAGTGATGGCACCAGTAAAATTAGGGAACACTGTTTTGAGCCAGCCTGAATTTACCTTTGAAAAAAGAGCTGTTGGCAAACCAGGGAAATACTAGATTTAAGTCAGTTGAATTTGAATTGGAATCTCATTTGACTTGCAGTCAGAATGTGAAGTGTCAGTTACTGCTGGTTTAGCAACAGAACCCCCACAGAGGCAGCATTCAAGGGCTGCTGTAGGCTCCTTCCTTTCCTGGATACATGTCAGTATCCAGGCATGCTGTGTGTAAGAGTGGAGAGCTGTGACTATGTGCCTTCTGTGTAGAATATGTCATTTTCTCCCTCTGGGTAGCTTTGGAGCAAGTTCGTGGTGCCAGCTGTTGCAGTGCCCAGCCTTGCAGGCAGCCCTGTCATATGTTTCCTTTTCTAAGGGAACTCAGCAGCCCTTTGAACCTCTGGTGGACTTGAGTGAGGTTATGGGTTTTGTAGGAACTATTTTGTAGGAATTGTTGACATTTGTGGTAACAAATATATCACTGAAGGTGAATGCCCCTGTAAATTAAAGTCTGTGCATTTTTCTGTTCCTTTGTCCTGAAAGGAAACATAATGCTTAAATGCACTTTTGAAGTTGTGTTTCACAGTGTTTTTCATAAGAGAAAAGTT